CCAGAACAGCAATTACAGCATAAAAGCAAACTATTTAAATTAATCATTCTCACAAACAAGAAACATGTATTTTACAGCATATATCAATATCTCCATAGAAAATATGTATTTATCACTTCTAAAGTAAAATCATCAAGTGCAGCATATGTTTTGATTGGTTTAAAATAGAAGTGATAATGAACTGACAATGATTGTGAACTCTTTCTTGTCAGCATGGATTGTTTTGTTTGTTTATTGTGAAGTCACATCAGGACCATCACATCATATTATTCAAAAACTTCCTTTTTGACAATGATCAAATTACTTGAATAAACCTTGTGTGGAGATGGAATGACATTAAAAGCTTGTGGCTGAAAAATATATCTACCTTGTTCCATGATGATAGTGTTTTAGTTTCTTGGATTCTTGTGAGAAATGAGATATACAGAGGATCTTGTTAATCTCCCTACTCCTTATGAGGATTAGGGGCAGTCGAAGACAGGTTTTATTATATAGGGAGGAAGAAGAGGGGGATTAATACAGAAGTTGAGATTTAAATTACAACAGCATTCGGTTCACTATTTTAGTCCAATATTCAGAATATTTCTTGTGAGCTTGTGTCTCTTTCTCTCTCTCTTTAGAAGTACAATTTGTATTTTATACGTACCTTAAAAGAAAAAAAAAAAAAAAACTAATTGCAAATCAAAAAGGTTATAATCAATACTTGATTTTGTTTGCAACAGCTCAGAGATTCCTGTGGTATAGTTGTGTTGGTAGAAGTGACCTTTTGCTTAGTGCAGTCTTCCATTTATTCGTCCATATCTACATGGACCTCGAAGACTGTCTGACACCTCACAAAGCTGCAAAGATTATGATGTCAAGCAAAGGTTAAAGCTAAGACGCTAAAGCTACTAAAGCTGCACATAGCAGGTTGGTGTGTGTGTGGATCAGCTAAACAGCGTGTTTAACAAACCAAATGGAGTCTGGAACTGTGCTGAATGGAGCAACACGAATCGCATCCAAATGTGAACAAGCAGATGGATGATTTCATCGAAGATTTATCAGCAGAGAGGCACACACTACACGGTATTGAATCCACAAGATGTGTGCCTAATCTTATTTGTATTTATGGTTTTGTTTAGACTTCCACAAACTCCCAGCTCGCGTCACATATGGCCTGTATGGCCCTGTCTTTCTGGAAGCCTTTTCAGGTTCCCCGGTCTCTGCTCCAGCTTCCCCGGGGCTTTTCCTTTATTGCCCAAAAATAGCATCTCATATGTGAGACCAGTGAAGATCACATCACAGTGCAGCACCAGGCTCCTTGCTCATCACTTCTCACTCCCTTCCTCTCAATCTGCACTTCACAGTGATTTATCAAATACTGTTAGCGGCCAGCAGCCCCACCAACTGGGTTACATTGAATTTTGGACAGCCAAGACACTATTAATGGAATATTTTTAGCTAAACGCGGGTGTCTGTAGCTCTGTTTAGTATGTGTGCTGGGAAGCCTGTAATTGGCACACAAAAATTAAATTAGTGTGTGAGAGAGGAACAGTTGAGTGGAAATGGCTCCCACTTGACCTCTTGGTCTGGAGACTGATGTAATGAGACTTTTTCTTCTGCGCTTTGCTGCTGCTGCTTTCAGCTGATCTTCTTCTTTCAGAGCTCTAATAGTCACTCTCATTTGCTTTTGGAGATTGGTGTTCTTTGGTTGTGCTTCCAATGATTTTATTGGTTAGTCTAGCTTTTCTACACCCATCCATTCACCACAAGTCAGGTTGACTAAACTGAAAATCGAACTTCCTCAGATTTTATCTGCTCTGCCTAATGCAGTGTGATCTATAAACCTTTCCTGGTCCACGAGCTTCATGTTCTCTTTTTAAAAAAATCCACTCTACAAGTCCATGCAGCCCGTGTGAGTGCCAATAGGGCTAAAGGTGGCATCATGCATTCATAGCCTCCCTTTTGTGTGAGAGTTCACACTATAAACTTTTATAGGTCCATCAGTGTGTGTCATTCCTTTTATTTCACTTATTTAGCAGGAATAGGTCACTTTTTACAACCAAGCTTTAGAAAACATCAAAAAAACATGCAACATCGTTTTTTATGTCATAAAATGTAGAACAAGTTGAGATGCACTATTATCATAGTCAAAGGTTGGTCTCAGAGGGACCTGGGAGGCGACCATGAAAGTGGAGGTGACTAATCCCAAAGGCTGCTGGGTGAGGGTCCCCAAGCGTCCACAGAAACACCCTTAAAATGGATTTGCTCTGACTGTGCCAGTTATCAACACCCCGACTTTAGTGTGAAATCGATGTGCGGTCCTGTGCTTGTTTTCAAAGCTGCTTCTTCTCTCAAGTTCACTCATCCAAATGCCTTTATAAGTGATACCTCTTTGACAGTACCCAATGAAGCAGTGTGAAACCATTTTACCCAACAACTGAACTAAAGGCAACATGATATATTTTCATTTTTTGAAAATGAATCAAATGAGATTGTTGTCGATCGGCCGGGTTTTTGTATGGGCTGCTCCTTCAGTAGCATAAATAGTTTCCATCAAGGCTTTTATCATGAGTCTGATGGTGTCCTTGATGGGAGTGAGTGAATTAACAAGGCAGATATTGATCTTGGGCTGTGAGTTTCCTCTGTAGCTTTTTGATGGTGATTTAGAGAGTGAGAGAGAGACAATCAGAGGCTGAGATGGTCGATAGTGTTTGCAGGTTGCTGTGTGGAGAAAGGTGACAGGCAGCAGAAGGGCATGAACGAGGCGTCGCCATTGATCGCCTGCAAAACGCAACAAGCTGATTTTACTTTCTCTCCAGAGCAGCACACGGCCACGCACGGTCACACGCAGAGCCTGGGCTGATTGTGCTTTTATTTGACAGTGCAGAAGAAGAATCGCTCTGACAACAGAAGGTTTTCACACAATCAATCAGGTTTCAGTGAAAACCCTGAAACTGTTCCCATGTTCTCCAGAGTGACTTAAAAGGCCATTTAGCACATGCAATGAAATTATAGCACCAACACAGGAGAAAATGCACTAGATCACAGATGTTGAGAAAGATCGATGTGACAAAAAGTTATTTGGTTTAGAAAACCTTCAGAGACCTACATCCATCACTTAAAGACAAGTTGTTTTCTGTCAGTCACATACATTTTGTGCAAACAACATATTTTAAATTTAATTATTTAACAACAAATTCCAGAAATGCAGTTTAATTTTAAAGACATTTAATTTACTTTCGCTATAGCCAATCAAGTGCAGTTTCACACATTTTTCTCCACTAAAATTCCATCAGAAAGACTTGAGCCAGTATAAGATATCTCACTAGTTGAAAGTTTTTTTATATGTTGTACAGACGTTATGGCAAACAGCGTTTCTTATCGCACTTGGCACTTTTCCGACTGGTAATCATTGCTTCCTTTCATAATCTGACCCTGTTTCTGTCGCTGACACGGGTAAGAAGAGAGCTTTGACATTTGCTGCTCTTTGTCAATAGGTCACGAAGAAAACGCAGACGCAAAGAGGCGGGCTGCATGGACATCTATTGATCCTCTGTCTCACGGTTAGCTGTACAGATAGATGATAGGCACAGGAGAAGGAAAGACTGAGCCATTCTGCAACAACTACAACAAAGGCAGCTTTGTGAGGCGGCCCTGCTCGTCCATCTATCTCGAGCTGTCCGTTCAACCCGCCGAAGATGGCAGGCTAATTCACTTAGATTCCTCTGTGGATGGCCATTATCCCTGGGTGGTGTGCTGTCTGCGGGTGTTCTCTGCCATGATATCATCATGGCACTCACTTAAATATATATCACAGCTGATTGATATCTGCTGGCCGCCAATAATTGCTGAATTGTGGACCTTTTAGGGCTGTTTGCCTGCACGCTCTGTGCACACTGAGACAGCTTCTCTCTATTTAATCAAATTTAGCAGTTAAGTGGTTGAATGGTCTCTTTGTAAAAGCTCCAGCTCTAAACAGCTCACTGCTTTGCAAAGAATTATCTCAAATTATACAAATTTAAACAGGCCATATATTTATTTATTTTCTATTCTATAATCTATTTAGAAACACAAATGCCTAGTTATTAATCAACCAAAATAAATATTTATGCCAATAAGAATATATTTTGCCACAGCTGCACTGATGTGTCAAAGCAGCCTTGAATCAAAGTCTTAATTTAGCTGAAAGCTTACAGGTGGACTGTGTCTGTCGAATGAAGTGTGAACCCTGTGGCTTTTGACTTGTCTTTAGATGTGGTTTGCTTTCCATGTGACACGGGAGGTTCACTCCGATCCAGCACACCACACAAACATTTTCTTTTCCTTTTATATGTGCTACCTTCCTTTTAAAAACCAACTAAATGTGTGAATTTCTCCCAGCACTGCCTCCTCCAGTCACCTCGCTGTGAGGGTGGTCGTCGCTGAACTCAAAAGATAAGGAGCTGTAGTTGCTGAAAGGGTTAGACATAGCTGGGCAACAGTAATTTTCTCAAACGTTGTTTAGGGCACATCTGAGTGGTCCTGAATAAAAAGTATTGGTAATGGAAAACTCATAATATAATACAACTTATATATACATTAAACAATAAATATTATTATGAGGTGAAGCCTTTTAATAAATGTTATATCCATGATGGTTGTCTAAACTACTAAACACAAAATGTATCAATTAAGTTCATGAGTTATAATGTATCACAGTGTCTGCTGAACAGGTTTGATCATTAGACACCGGATCATTGTTCATGCCGTACCACATGAAAGCATAACTGTGTGATGCTGCAGCAGGAGCAGCAGTGTGACATTACTGGGACATAAACCTCACTGCAGTAACTGCACCTCACTCCAGGGACCACTTCCCCATTCTTCTGCAGCTCACAGTCTGAACACAAATGTAGCTTATCCACACACTACACTTCAGTACAATTACACAATTTCATTTAGTGTTGTTATACTACTATTAGAAACATGTGAATGTATGAGCAATGTTGTGACATGTGTTTTGTCTTGTTTTGCTGCAGAAATTTCTACTACATAACGATGCTTCGAGACCCTGTATCCCGGTACCTGAGTGAGTGGAAGCATGTCCAGCGTGGAGCCACATGGAAAACAGCCCTCCATATGTGTGATGGGCGTCCGGCCACTCAGGACGAACTGCCCGCCTGTTACAGTGGAGACGACTGGACGGGCGTGCCCCTGACAGACTTTATGAACTGCCCTTCAAACCTGGCCAACAACAGACAGGTGCGCATGCTGGCGGACCTCAGTCTGGTGGGCTGCTACAACATGTCATCCATGAGCGAGCTGGAGAGGGGCCATGTGCTGCTGGCCAGCGCCAAGGCCAACCTGCGCAACATGGCCTTCTACGGCCTGACGGAGTTTCAGCGCAAGACGCAGTATTTGTTTGAGAGGACGTTTGGCCTGCGCTTTATCCGCGCCTTTACGCAGATCAACAGCACTCGAGCTGCCAGCATAGGCATCAGCGAGAAGGTGCGCTGGCGCATCGAGGGCCTCAACGCTCTGGACGTAGAGCTCTACGAGTACGCCAAGGAGCTGTTCCTGCGTCGATACCAGTACCAAAGGCAGCAACAGCACCAGGAGGAGCGTCTGCGCAGACGCCAGCAGAGGCAGCACAGGCAGCGGCTGCACAGGACATACTGGGCCCAACTGCTCAGACTGGGAGCAGAGGAAGAGGACCAGAATGAGGTGGTGAATGCACTTGAGGTGGTAGCCACCACAGAGGATTACAGTAGTCAAGTGGTTAGATGGTAACAGGACCTACTGGAAATGACTGGAACATAAGCTATTCTCTGCTACCTTTGCCCTCCATTTCTGCTGTGCTCCAAAACCTGCTACCCTACAAACCTCTTTGCGCTTATTGGACTACCCAATAGTGTCTTAATATTTATGATGGATGTATTTGTCATGGCAACATTTTGTATTTATGTTTTTCGTAAAGCTCTATTTAAACAAAGCACTGGTTAATTTATGCATTAGCTTTGAATGTTTTCCAAGCAGGGACAATGTTCCAAAGCTTCACTTGAGCAGACTTTTATGTGCAGGTATTGTGCTTTCTGAAGGAGGTGGTTTGAGTGTGAGGGGGAGTGCTCTGTATGTGATATAGCGCTGTGTTGATCAGTGAAGTATCGTAGCTACTCTGTGGTGTTTGGCTTCATACAAATATCAAAGCACAAACTTGGCAATGGTCTGCTGTGTTTTTATTCTGACTGATTTAGCTGCAAAAATCACTAACAAGGCAATGTCTTGCAAGTAATGTGTTCAATAAAAATAAGCAGCATTCAGTGATGTAAAAGTGTTCCTGATGGACTCTCTGGTCTGCATGTGTACATGCACGTGTTTTGCCTTTCACAGCATGTTCTCACCATAAAAATGTGAAATCTTTGTGCACTGTGCCAACTTCTTCTCCATGCACCATACACTCAGTCGCTCAAGATGCAAAAAGGAGGAATGAAAGACAGGCTGTCAGAGCTGGTCTCAGTGCTCTTACATCACAACAGAGAACATTGGTATTTCCACCATTAGGCCATTGATCACAGCCTCTTCGCTTCCAAATTGATCATTTAAAGTTCAATTGACCATGACTCTAGCACAGCAGAGAAAAAAAGAAAGCCAGCAACTCTGAATGCTTTTTCCCCTCCCTAATCTGACAAACGTACAGCACTCAGCTCCACTGGCGTTCCATTTGCACCACACCGGCAAAACAATCTGTTTCCATGCGTTTCCGCAGACAACAAGTCTTGACGATGCGTGGAACGAGAATCATTGCTTCATATTAATTTTTTGATTTGCAAAAAGGAAAATAAGCAAAGGAGATCCATGAGGACGAAAGGAAGAAAACTGTTCTCTCCACAGACAAAAATAGATTTCTATCAGCCGCTATCTTCTCTTCTACTCAGCATGGAGCCAGACAATAAAATGATTGTCACTGGTCAACAGCGATGAGTCCTTTGCATAGTTTGTCATTTGCATTTATGGTACATTATAACATTTGCATTTGTTTTTATGCTACGGGCAATTAACTACTATGCAAAATGGTCTGTAATAAATTTGTAAAATATGACAACACAGCATCCATAGGAAACATATTTATCATTGGTGAAGGATTACTTACCTGAGGGGAGAGATTTTGGGAGGGATTTATTCTTTCTTGTATTAAGAAATTCTTGAAGTGTGTTTGGTGTGCTTGTATATTTCAAAGGCCTTGTCATTCTAGAGCCTGAGCACAGAAAAGTAGGGTGCTGACTTTGAGAATGAGGACTGAGCTGCTGCCTTGTTAACTTATGACAAGGTGAAAACATGTACTCTGAGGGCTAAGTGCTCAGATACAACCTTCCAGTCTTTCACAGATCAGTAGCTGCTGGAGGTGTTGTTGGGTCGCTAAATCACATCACTGCCTGGGAAGACAAAAACAGCAAACTATCCTGATTGATATTTAGTAGTTACACTTATTTTTTATTTTTATTTTGAATTCCATTTATTTTGACAGATGCCAAAATATGGATCTATAAATACTGAATTTGCAGATACGCTGAGTGAAAACAATAAACATAAAAAATATGTCAATGTGTTTACTTACTAACTATACAAAAAGAAGTCAAATAATGAATACAAAAAAACACGAATGTACTGCCAACAGGGTATGTGTACATAGTAGCGGAAGTATAAGTATATTTTAAGTGGCACGCAGTTCAAACATGACACACTCCAGTGCAAGTTATATGGTATACAAATTGACTAATTACATTGAAATCTCTTTTTACTAAGAGCACAGTTCAAACACAAGTTACACCACACATCCTGTCTGTTGGTGCTTTCTCAGCTATGGGACAGTAAGTGTTGAGCTGTTACTCCTCTGCTCCGTCAGTGCTGGACAGGCTGGACTGATGAAAGCCAGGTTCACCAGAGAGGTGCTCTTTCTCAGCCAGCGTTGGCAGGAGAAGACACTGACGAAGGCCTTTTTGAATACTTCTTCTAACAGAGTGAACAGAACCAGGTTGAAGAAGGTGTTGAATGCAGCCAAAGGCTTGGAGATGATGTAGGCTGCATGCACTGTGTTTCTCAGTGTACATGAAAGGTGTGGCATGTTGCGTGTTTCAATGCGCAGTGCACGCAGGATGTGATAGGGCAGAAAACACAGCACAAACACCACCAGGATGAGAATGGCAACTCGCTGAGACCGTATCTGAGAGGTGCTGCTGGTTTGAGGCCCTTTATGTAGCTGCACAACAATCCGAATGTAACATATGAAGACCACGAGCAGAGGAAGCACATATCCAAAGGCTGTGATGAGCAGACTGTACAGGCAAATGGCATCCACATCAGTGGTGCTGGCAAAGTCCAGACAATAGGTCTGATTGTCTCCCTCTCTCATATCAATCAAAGTGAGTATTGGAGTGACCTCCGCTGCAGTTCTGATCCACACAACAGCAGAAGCCAGGAGGCCCCAATGTTTCTGCTGCACCCAAGGCGTCCACAGGGGACGCATCACCACCACGTACTGGAACACAGCAATACACATGAGTGACATGATGCTCCCATACAGGTTAAAATGAAAAACAAAGCGTGCGAAACGGCACATGAAGTCACCAAGTGCCCACTGGTCCCCGTTGCTGTAGTAATAGACGAGATAGGGCATGCTCAAGGCAAATAATAGGTCTATGACAGACAGGTTGACCATAATGATGCTGCTGCTCTTCCATGGGTGAAACTTCAGCACATACACGACTATTGCAGTCGTGTTCCCCAACAGTCCCCCAATGAAGACCAGGGAATATCCAACGGGCAAGAAATAATGCTTCACCAAATCATCCACATCTGTGCAGAGCTCACTCTCTTTTGCCATGGCCAGGTTAAAGCTATGAGAAAAGTTACAACACTTTAAGAAATTAGATCTCCTGCTATATACAGCTTTACAATAATTATTATGGGCATTAATGCTATTCATATGAGTAATATATGAATCATTCTATTTGTAAACACATTTGTATTCCTCTATGTTTTACTGTTTAACATCAATCAAACAGAACATAAAAACATATAGAAAACATTGTGAGCAGTTAGAATAGAAGCAAATCATTATTCCTTTTTCCCCAGGTGTCATATCACTGTCAGAGGCAATTACTGATGAAGGAAGGAGGGATGAACAAAAAGGAGAGGAAAAATAACGGGGCACGGGGTTGGCAAGAAACAAACAATCACACAAACTCAGGGGGAACAAAACAAATAATAGTGTGTTTTCCTTGTCACAGATGAGGACTGTGAACGCCTCTCAGGATATGACAGCGCCTATAGCATTCTGGCTTGATGGCAGCTTCCTGTAATGCTGCCTGTTCAATCTACTCTCATTACAGTTAAAAAGAGATGTGCAGGGAGTCATTTGCACCTTCTAATTGTGTTTATTTAAAGGTCCTATATTACACTAAATTGGTTCTTGTGAGCTTTACACCATGTTATAATGTTATCTCATCAAAAACATACCTGAAGATGTGTTTTGTTTCATTCACACATGTTTGAGAAACCCTTTATTATTAACCTGTTTACATCTCCAAGTTAACAGCTAGCAGCTAAAGGTAAACTTAAGCTCAGTGGAGAATGGCAATTCCAAGGCTGAAATCATCCAAATGACTCTTGTGAAGGTGTATAGTTTTAAAACACAATGGAGCACTTTCTCTATTACCGCATGACATCTGTTTGAGAAAACACGTCAGCCTAAATATGCAAAGTGTATGTGTTAAAAATGTGTGAATGAAACAAAACTGCTGGTAAGTTTTAGCTGAGGAAACATTATAACATAGATAAAAATAGTGTAATATAAGGCCCTTTAAAAGTGATAATTACATAAAATATTACTTCCTGCCTATATGTTTTTAAAAGGAAATAAAATTAGAGTACAAATGTAAGTTGTACTCATGTTTGGCTGACATGCCCCTATCAGTCCAAGCTTTGAGAATGCCATCCTGAGAGTGCCATCCCTGTTTCCTGGTCCAGTCCTATATGGGTCCATCTCTTAGCTCTTCCAGTTTTCCCCACCCACAGGGAAGCTCCAGAAAAACACCTTTGTTTGAAAATCCTGAGCATGTTTTAACCCTAAGTCATGTGTATTTAATATTTCCCGGTAGAAGCTGAAGGGTCACTTAGACGAAGGAACAGGTATTTGAGTCAGTGACAGCAGACGCAATGTATCCTGTTCCTATTATATATATATATATATATATATATATATATATATATATATATATATATATATATATATATATATATATATATATATATATATATATATATATATATATATATATATATATATATCAGTGTTTCTCATAGATTTTGCTGAGACTATGGTGGCTCAAATCTTTTTTATTTAAATAATTTAGTCTTTTAATTTTTGTGGAATATAAATGCCACTTTCTGCCTATATTTACACTTTAAGCTGTTATGATCATTGTTGTCTCTTTTATGTGTATGATAATACAATGAGCAACAAGGTCAAATTTAGTTCTGTCAGTTTAGTCCAGTTTGTTTTTAGACTATGGAGAGAATTTTAGACTACGGGAGGTCACCATAGTCTCCTGTATTAATGGAAAACACTGAGCCTATTTAAAATTCCAAGCAGCTACGATAAAAAAAAAAAAAAAGAGACACAAATGCCTTACCTGGCCACATGACACCATATTCCAGACAGATCAAAAATGAAGGACAAAAGAGATAAGTACATGTCTGAGCTATGAAATGCAAAATTCTGTCAGTTAGGCCCAATTGACAGACATGTTGATGTCAAATATAAACTAAATATATCATTATGGAATACCTTACTATGCTATACCAAGTGTTTCTCATAGATTTTGGCACAAATAATTTTTATTTGAATAATTTCGTCTTCAATTAATTCGTCTTATTTAATTATTCAATTAAATGTTAATCATTATGCAGTCATTTTGACCAGTGTAGTCTCTATGTCTCTACAAATGTATATTAATGAAATGAGCAACAACATCTATTTATGTCATGCCAATGTCTAGTTCAGTTTATTTTAGATTATGGGGGGGCTATTTTAGACTATGGGGGCCACCACAGTCTCTTGTATTAAAGGGAAACACTGTTGTACTATGAGAAAAGTGTCAAACTAAAGTTAATTTAATAATGAATAACATTTGCGTTCTTTCTTCTCTTTAATCAAGAGTCAGTGTTTTCTTCTACTTTAAGATTAAGTGTCTTTGAACTTTCACTATTTGTTGTCTGTAAATACCAGAATATGTGTGTATTTTATGTTTTGTCTGGGTAGTTACATAACACTGAAACGTAAAACACAGAATGTTAGTTATTAGCATCATTAGCATTAGCATTTTATAGTGCTGCTTCTTGGTTTACTGCTTTTGATAGTGCCAGAAGAGCCGAAGTCTTTACAAGTTTCTGTGTAAAGCTATTATAAACTCATTCAAGAATAAGGTTATATTTGCTTGTCAAATAGACCTACTACTCATTTACACAATGATTTATCCAAGGCCAAGAAGTTTTCCGCTGCTGCTTCAAGTCATCCACGAGTCCAGTCCTTGGTCAGGCGCAGTCACGTCGGTCATAATGTTTTATTTTGTTCACTTTTATAAATATAATATAATGCAATGTAAAATGTAATTAAATTAAATAAACAATGAGTTTAATATAGGGCGCTGTGGTAATCTCAGGTCACTCAGCCACTACTTAAATGTATTTGAAGAGTAGGGCTGTATCAGCAATCTGCAGCTTGACTGTAAAACATTATTGTGTTGTGCCTTGTAGTCATTATTTGTAGATCACACAAATGATTAAACAATATAGATTTACAAATGTTTATTTTACAAAAGAGCTAGAAATGATGTAAACAGCTTTACAGATACATCTAAATGTTTTTGTTGCTGTGAGAGATGGTATGTTCTTTGAAGAGATAGAAATGTCAAAGATTGACTGATGACACAGAAATCCGAGTTCAGAGGATGAGGATAAAAGATGCTTGAGGTTTACAAAAAGGGGAAAAAAACTACAGTTTGGGCATCCTGGCAGCGTTGAGACGCATAGACACACAGGAGGAGCCAGCAGCATAACGCATCTCCCTCAGCATGCCACTCCACTGCTTCTTATCTTCCTCGTACCTAAAACAGAACACAGGCGGTCGCTAATGAAAACGAATAGCCTACCAAAGCCATGCAGTTTTAATGTGCAGAGAGCCCCCGGACGCCTATAGGTTTAAAAGACTTACTGCCAGACGTCTGTGACCTCCGTGGGAGCCACCTCTTTGTTCTCCATCTCCACCATGGCAAAGCCGCCCACAGCGTACAGCAGCCCGCCAGTGCTCACCAGGTTGACAGAGCTCCTCTCCTGGGGAAACTCTGTGAACGGCTCCCACCTGAAGAGACAAAGCACCAGCAGAAGGTCAACCAAAGACAAAGTGGACATCTGAAATACCTGCTGCATGCACCGGCTTTGACCTTAACCCAGCGGGTAAATAAGACATACTTGTTTGAAGTAAAGTTGTAGGCTTCACAGGTACCAGTGAGACCATCCTCATTCACTCCACCTGCCACTATTATGTTGCCATTGTGGATAACTGCTCCGAACATGGACCGAGGGGTCTTCATGCCTGCCAGCTCCCTCCACTCGGACTGCTTGTGGTTGTACACAAACATCTTGTTGAGGGCTTTGCTTTATAGAAAACAAAATGACAAAATTGTAAAATAAAATTCAATAGCACACTTAGATTTTTTTCAAACTTTGATGTATGAGTGACTCTTTGTCCCTTAGTCATGCAGTGATTTCAGAACAGCATAAAGAATTATGCAGTTCCACCCACTGGGGTCTAAAGGTCAGACTCTATACATACATCTAATGCTAATATTGGTCTGCCTTTCTGAGAAGCTCTTTCTGCACTCAGACATCTCACTGAAATGTTGCGAATTAACTTTTACAGGCTTTTGTTGCCCCTGTCTCAGATATTCCAGTGTGTTCCTAACATTAAAAGTACCTATTTGAAGATGATTTACTAATGCAAAACAATAAGAAAAATCTAAAAATAAAATGTATATTCCTGTTGTTTCTGGCACTCAAAGTTTCCATTTGTTTGTTCTTGAAGTTAGCTCTAACTGCCGACAGCACGATAAGCTCCACCTGTGGGCTCTTGACAGTGCTCGCCCAACAGCTGAAATCACTGAACCCACTGATAACCTATTATTAGGCAAAACAATCTGTTACACTCATTTTCTCCCAGTCCTATACATTTTTTTTCTATTTTCAATTTCCTGGCTTTCCTAGCATTATTAACTCTCATTTTGATTCAGTGTGATCTATTTATGGTGCTGTATTGTCAATGATTCAAGCGGTCAGACAGATCATGTTCTCATTATTAGAAGATATTGCTGGACTGCAGGACTGTAATTGTTGTATATGATGTTGCAGCCTGCCACAGTGATGGACCAAGAACAGCTGCAGGGTCCCTCACACCCGCGCTCATTAACTCACTTGTCATCTGTCTTTCCTCCAATGCAGTAAACCAGTCCTTTGTGGGAGACTACAGAATGTCCATGGATTTTCAGGGGAAGCTTTTTCGTCTCGCTCCACCTCATTTGACTAAAAAATAAATAAATAAATTTAATTAACACAAGTTTTTTTTTTTTTTTTCATTTTCTGTAATTATTAATTATTGTATTTATTGTGAAATGACTTAAAAAAACATGACTGAGTGAGAAAAGCAAGATTATTTTAAAAGTGAATGTGAATATTAACAAGAAATCATTCCATTAATTTTCTGCAGTTAATTATCACCTGAAACTTTGCATTTCTTGCACGACAGGGTGAGAAACAAATAAGAAAAGAAACTCACTCAATATCATAGCACATGACAGTATCCAGCGACTCATTAGTTTGGAGGTCTTTGCCAGCAATGGCAAAAAGCAGGTTCTCACTCTCTCCGATGTTAAATAGGCATCGCGGAGAGGGCATGGGCGGCAGAGCCAGCCATTCAGACGAAAGAGGATCCAACTGCAGAGGAAAAAACAGGAGCATTAACATTTATGTTTATCTATGAAAGAGAGAATGTACATCACACTGTATCCACATATTGATTTAGCTGTAAAAGGGAGTTATTCAGAGCTTTTATCACTCCTCTCTCAACATGTGTGTGTTGCTCTGTTCTGATGGGCAGCGAGGGAAACATAATCCAAGCATTGATCACAGACAGCAAGATAAGTGTGTCCCAGTTATACACTGAAAAATTCATATGAATATCTGTCTCATTTTTCTATCATCATGCTCCCCGTCAAGGACGAATGAGAAATAAGCTCGCCAAAAATGCTAAATTACTTCAAGGTTAACTCAAAATAACACTCTTCATTTTGGGGTTATTGCTGACATCAAGGTGTGTCATTAAAGTGTTTGCCAACCTATAATAGAAAGCACAAAGGGAGTGAATCTGCCAACATGTAAATGTATAAGAAAGTTGAAAATATAAATATAAAATATAATATAAAAATATGAAATCTTACCACATAGAAGTAGCACTGCAGGGGCACATCCTTGTTCTCTTCATCCACAAACAGTCCTCCAATAATGAACACCTGATTCTTTTGTGTCACTACGCTCACATGGTTACGTGGAACCTGCTCGGACATGGCCGCCAGGAAGCACTCATTCTCATTGACATCATAGGCCACAGCCGCTGTGTCATTGATCATAACAATGAAATCTCGCATGTACATGCCATGCCTGGGGTTGTCGTTCAGGAAACCAGGGAACAGGTTCTCCTCCTCTTCACCCTCCTCCCCCTCCTTCTTCGGGGGTTTCTCTGGAAGCTTCCCTTTGAAGGCATCCTTGATAATCTGGATGGTCTTCTGCAGCTCGGGATCAGCCTTGATGATCTCGTCTGTCTCAACTTTTTCTGTGAAGTATTTCTCAGGAAGGAGGCGGAAACGGACACAGTTGAAGGCATCTTTGAGGATCTTGACACGACTATCCTTATCATGGCGGACCCAAGACATGACAGCTTCAAACACCAGCTCCTCCTTCTCCACATTCAAAGAATCGCCACCAATGACTGCAAAGAGTTCATGAGGTGCGAGCTTGAGGAACTCCTCGTCCTTGTGGAGGAATTCAAAGCGGTCAGCAATGAAGTTACGTGCAGCTATGGCTAGCCTGGGACAGCTGAGCACCAGGCCCATCCGAAATATGGCCATGCAGTTGGGCAGGGAGATCTTCTTCTGGAGGTAGTTGACACAAGCTGTGAACACAGAGGGGATCTGGAAACGGTTTGCCACAGCAATTATGTCCTGCACATTATCGTCGGTAAGGTCAATCTCAGCTGAGTACAGGTATCTGATGATCATGTCCAGAATGTTGGGGTTCACGTCATCCAGGACCACTTCTTTGGTGTTCTCTACCTCCTTCCCGTCCTCTGTGAAGAAGAGCTCTCTGAAGTAGGGGCTACAGGCAGCCATGATGAGCCTGTGGCAGGGGAAACAGCGGTCGCCCACCTTCAGGGTACAGTCCACAAACTTGTTCTCATTGAGCAGCTCCTTCAGGCCGTCCTGCAGGAGGGTGCTCTGGAACAGGCGCAGCTCCTCCTTGATGGCGCTGGGGTCCATAACTGGTCAGGAGAAGGGGGTCCGTGGAGAGAGGAGAGGAAGGAGCAGGCAGCCACAGGTCCTTCTGGCTCTAGTCCTGGCTCGAAAAGACAGAGTGGCCAAAAGGTTCCTGGTGTGAAGACCCTGCAATTTAATCCCATCCCACTCTATAAATAACCTCCCCTGCCCCTGGCCTACCCCGACTGCAGTGGAATCTGACAGGGCCGAATCACAGGCCTCATCCTGAGCAGCTGCTGTCATAGACTGAAAGAAGCAACTGGTTGCTCAGGATATGCCACCACGATTCAGCTAGGGAGGTGTCGTGTGCTTGGCCAATGGGGAAGACAATACAGTCAAAGCCCTGAATAGAAAGAACTACCAAAAGGATAAAAGTAGAAGGAATAGGGTCACATCTAGCAAATAAAATAAAAGTCTAATGTTATGAAGGAACTTGGTTGGGACCTGGAAACTTTAGGTTTGGGTAATAATAGAGTTGGCGTTTTAAGTCAGAAATTAATTGCAGCTGAATGAGTTCACCAATTTCACTTATCACTTATCAAACAACTAAAAACAACAATTAATTAATTCATAATTTCAATTTAATTTAAATAGTATTTGTACCAATGAGAGCCTGCATTTTTATCTTGTAAAATGTTGTTCATCCTTTCATTGCATTAAAAAAAAAAATCTATCACAATGGAACAAATTAAACCCAAAGTGGCAACAAAAATATTTAAAATCTATGATAAACTCTTTTTAAGAATCCTTTAAAAAAACAAAAAAACATTACACCTATTGTGCTAAAAATGGTACAGTAACGTTTGGGTGCAGCAGCTGTTCCAAAAACAGGTGATAGACGCATAGACAAGTGAAGCGGCCAACCAATCAGGCTTCTCTGTCCCCCCAACTGTGTGAAATCAGCTGCTTGTGTGAGTTTACGCAGTTCATGAAAATTTAAAAACATTGTCATCAGGGAGGAAATCTTATGCTCTATAAAGCCCTCTCACTGAGCCATTCACATTAAACAAGTGAATGCTAAAACTGGCAATTACAAAGCTTGCTGATGAATTGTCAGAATCAATAAGGTCCTATGTTGTTTGGTTTTCATCTCGGAGGCCTGATAAATCATGGAGTGAGTAGAGTTAGATAACATTCGTCCCATGGGCAGAACTAAAGATAGATCAGACTACGCCACTTCTCTGGGAGTGTCTCACATGTAATTTAAGCAGAAGGGGAGAGTATAAAAAACTGTTCCACTTCCCCAATAAGACCAAATGTCTTTAAAAAAAAATCACATTTACATTTTGTTGTATGTTACAGTTTAATTAATTTTTTGGCAATCCATCAAATGGAAAGTCAACTCATGAGGCACACTGGTGAAAAATGACAAACCAGGTTATCACAAGAACGGATTTGTGTCTAAACAGAAGGTACAGCTTACCTCAGTTCAATGACATGAGCTAGTGTTACCCAGTAGAGGGCAGTGTGTATACAGTATGTGTCAGTCCATCAATGCTCTGTAAGTACAGCTTGAACAGTCAGATTAGTAATAAAGAACTAAAACGATGTAAACATGAAATCACATTTTGAGTTCTATAATGAAATACAAACATATTCAAAACACAAATAATCTATGTAGCAGTATCAGTATTTAAAGTGAAAGACACTTTGAAATAAGCAGAGTGGGGCATTGTTAAGTAAATTATTGCAAAAAAAAAAGGCTATTATGGCTTCGTAATCTCTGCAGTGGCTAAAACAGTGTAAAACGTGTGAGTAATTCCCTTGAAAGTTGGAAAAAGACACACACACACAAACAGTGCTGGTCTGTACACCTGAATGAAGGTGATGGATTATCTTACCTTCAATGAACAATGAAAAAAACACTGGAGGTATCTATCAAAGTGAGGTTCGACTTGATAGTGATCAGTGAGTGAGTAATCATTTAGAAGTGTGGTAGTACTGTTGGGGCAGGAGTTTACTGCAGATGGGTAGAAAAGTTTCCTACCTCGAGAAATCCTCGCATCAAGCATATATGTATACAATATGCGCCTGAGATTCTGCTAAAAAATTGACTAAAGTAGAAAGTGATTTTAGCTGCCCCTCGTTGGAAGTATGTTGATGTGCAGATGTGCGGCAGATGCGTTTCTTTATCCCCCTGTAAAATCAAAACACATGGAAGAGATAGTACAGTGAATACACCAAACCAGGCGTGCTGTTATGACCTACATTCATAGGACATATAAAGAGGTGTGATTGGCACATATAAGGGGTTGAATCAGGGGAGCATACCGGTGGAGCTGACTCTGACACATGTCCTCTTACACTCCTCCTCAGTGTCAAAACGATTCTTGTTGCCGTTACATCCTCCGTACCAGAATTGGGCGCACGCGTTGGCTTGCTTGTCGTAATACCAGCGGATGTTGTAGTCCCGGCATGTGCCCTGGTCCAGCACCAGACCGCAACGAGGGTCTAATGGTACAGTCTCTGAAAAGAAGACAAAAGAGAAGAAGATAGATTAGCACATTTTTTGTTCAAATCAAAATGTCCTTATAATGATGTGATGTCTTTTTTTTATGTGTTGAAATCCTTTGCTTCTCTCTTGTACAGAAAAAGAACATTCCATTAAGTCGGGCAGAGCACATCAAAAATAATTGGTCTTCCAGCTCCTCACCTACCTGCCCCTATTCCTGGACTTGTCAATCAAATGGCACTTATCAAAACCTGTGACCCAGACCATCAGCACCTTACATTCACCGGGCACTGGACTGAAACAGGCTGTGCAACTCCACAATTGTGTGCCACAAGATGGAATAACATCTTTTTTATTTGAGGAAAAACGTTGTAATGTATGATTCAATTCTCTCTATAACCAGTTAATTTCCTGTTGTCATGACAATAGTCTTGAGATCATAATTAGTTTAAAAAAAGAAAAAAGCTTTAAAAAAAACACTGCAATTGATCACACAGTAGGAAACATTTTTGACAGTGCATTTATATCTGTATATTTTTTAAATGTCTCCCGTCCTGTGGTATATTTCATGTAACGTAATAAATGTGCAAACTGATCACAGGTAATGAATTCTGGAGGCATGTCTCGCCTTGTTGTGTCCTCCTCTGAAGTCTGACTCTATTATTGCATGTGTCCTTCACTTCTAATTTTATTCCCATTGTTGACAGCGTGTGTTTATAATTATTCACAAATAGTGAGGGAAAACCAGATTGTTTTTACCCTTGTAATTAATTTATATTGATACCTGCACAGACTTTTAAATATGAGAGTACCTTTAGGAAGAGCTGGCCTTGGAGGAGGCACGATTGGGACTGAACCACCTGAAGTTGATATTGTTACATTCGTAGTGGATGATGATGACGATGATAAGGAAGTGGATGAGGATGAAGAAGATGATGAGGAGGTGCCTCTGTTTATAGAGTCCTGGCGATTGAATGTGTCACCACGCTCAGACCCCCACGTCGAAATACCAAACTGGCCCCCACCACCCTGAAAACAAACCAGACCAAACGCATTTTACTCTAACAAGGATGTTAAGATTAATTGAACAAAAAATATTGTAAGAATTTAGAGAGATATTATTGGTTCTTTAATAAGCAGAAGTGAGTTATATTTATTTAATCTATATCCAAAAACATTTAAAAACTAGAAAAGCAGTCAGAGAGCGCAGACCTCCGCCAAGGACTACCCCCATTTTTTATATAAATTGCGATAAAATCAGTCTTCTGGATCAGATCCGGATCAACCTTTGGAATATGAAAGAGGATCCCATTGTCCATCCCTGAGTCAAATTTCATGGGGTTTGATCAATAATTAACCGAGATATTGAGAAACAAAATTTTTGGCCCCATTTACCAATGTTAACTAAAATTTCAAAGTGATCCAGAATCCAGGATTTCTTCCGGATCACCCCCAAAATGAAATCAGTTCTTCCTTTTCACATTTCCAACAAATCCAGAAAATTTCATCAAAATCGGTCCATAACTTTTTGAGTTATGTTGCTAACAGACAAACAAACAAACAGACAAACGCCGGCAAAAACATAACCTCCTTGGCGGAGGTAAAAAACAATGAGGTCAGAAAGCTAGTTATATAGTACTAAAACTTACATGAATGGTAATCTATTAGACATGAATTAAGGATTTCACCTTTTCTTAAGTCACAGTTTCAATAATTGTGTTGTTTCTTCTGACAATAATTTTATATTTATATTTACTGCTGCTGCCTGTGAGTTTTATGATTGTGTGGGGCCGGGCTGTTGTGGGGTAGGGTATAAATAAAGTTTGCTTTGATTAGATATTCTGATAATCATAGACTTTGAAATCATGACATTCCTAATTCTAATTGTTAACTCAACCACTGGGAGTCGTAAATAAGTATAGTATAATAGTATAATAGTATTTACAGTGCTGGATCCTTTGCTAGCTGTCTGGGTGACCACAGAGGCCCCTCCCTGGGTATGGGTGCTGGTGCCAGTTTGAGGTCCACTGTTGGGATGAGGCCTGTAGCCGAAGCCGCCAATGGCATAGTTGCCGTTGACGACGTTCCTGTTGCCGTTGGTGCCGTAGCCATTGTAGCCGTTGTTTCCATGTCCATTGTACCCGTTGAAGCCATTTGTTATTTTGTTATAAATCAGGGCTCCATTCTCGTCCTCACAGAACTGGCTAACCAGCTTGGATTCCAGAGCTGAGATGACGAGACACAGAGGAGTCAGAGAGACAAGACAAAAGTACAGTAAATTTAGTATTTCAAAACATATAGACCATAGTTCCCTATAGAAAGTTGCTTTTCACAGTATCTTAGATTACATTGGTGCAATCCCTAAAAATACCAGAATGGGACTGTATAGCCTATATAAAAAGTAGAGGTTCAAGGACTGAACAAATGTGAAAGGACTGAAAAAAAGATCAGATATGTTAGTGACTTTTTGTTTTTATCAGATTTTTGCAGTTTTCTCTTTTATCAACATACTACTTTGAATGTTTTTAAAACTACTATTTTGAAAGTATCTTGTAGACAACCATATATTACTCACCTGTAACAGTCCTGGCCCTATAAAAAGGTAAAGATGATGTTGTGGTTGCAGTTTAATACATAGGTATATGGCACTTACCTGGCAGGGTGTTGAAATCATCTATGAGGAACATGTGCTCGCTGTCTGGGTCTGACGCGATAAGATTGAGCTCTCGCAGAAACTCGCCTTGGGTCGGGTCAGACGTGTTCACAATCCCCAGAGCGAACATCTCAATATTGGCAGCATGTGCTTCCCTCACAGCTATATCCAGCTTCACCGGCTCCCTCTTGTCCGTTTGCCCATCTGTGATAACTATGGCCACTTTACTGACTCCGATTCGTGAGCTGTAGAAGGCGTCCTGGGTGGCTTTTCGGATAGCGGTGCCGGTGTAAGTCCCCTCTCCCATGTATGGGATGTTACGGATAGCTTGTTTAATGTCCTGTTTAGTCACATAGCGTGCGAGATTGAAAACGAGTTTGACCTCCAGGCTGTACAACACCAGGCCGATCCGTGTGGCGTTTCTCCCCACGGTGACCCGGTCCACCAGTGCATTAACAAAGTCCTTGATGATCTCAAAGTTCTCCGGTCCCACACTCTCAGAGCTGTCAATGACAAACACCAGCTCCATAGGCCTCTCCTTACATTTGATTCCGCAGCCTGAAATTACATCACATGGATACATGAGAAAATGGCCGGAGGTTTCTGATAAGGTCTGATCTTTGCTATGTGATCTGCTGATTTACAGATTATACCAGACAGAGTCTTAAGTTTACACAATGAGTATTCTCTGATAACACAGCAGGCAAAGTTCAATCAATACACAAAACGAAATAAAAATAACACCCATAAGAAGATACGTTACCACAGATCTCCTTGATCATTCGAATGATGTCCTCTCTCTGTAATCGATACACCAACACACCGTCAAGTCAGTGAACAGGCAGTGAATTAAGTGTATAAAATGAAAGATAAATTAGATTACTCACGGTGAGTCCTGCTTCACCTTTGATTCCCTGACGGCCCTAGAACAACATTAAAATAAGTTGTTAACTTTTTACTGTAAATCATAAGCGGAGTAGCAAGACCCAGCATGCAGATAAATAGTGTGTTTTAGACAGACCAGGCTGCAGAACTAGACACATATCTACACCTGAAAACTGAATACAATACGGTTTTCTTACAGGAAGTCCTGGAGTCCCTGGGTCTCCCAAATCTCCTTTGAATCCCTTTTGCCCTCTCTCTCCCACTGCGCCTCGGTCGCCCTAAGATACACACAATCATTAGTTTAAACACAAAGCGCACACAGTCATCCAAATGTCATGGGACACACTTTAGCTCCTGGGAAGCCCTCTCCAGGGAGTCCTCTTGGTCCTGTCACTCCCTGTGACCCCAGCTCACCCTGAAAATAACACAAACAGCAGGTAAACGAGCAGGTCCCAAACACTCAGTGTAAATGGCTGTGCTGGGTGAATGCAAGTTGCAAGTAAGCTATACCTTTGGCCCTTGAACTCCTTGTCCTGGAGGTCCAGCTGGTCCAGGTGGGCCAGGCCTGCCTGTGTTACCCTAAAACAGATTTAAGGATACATTAAGTTCGTTATCAGTATGCAAACATATCACTGTCTTCTAACTCATCAGAGATTCATTTATTTCAAGCGCAATATTAGGAGTATGCTGAGAAGGTGGCCATTTTAAGGATCTGAGTCACCCTACTCTGTCCCACATGGATCCAGTCTGAAAGCTGAAATCCCTTTATATTTGACAAGTCAGCTGAGTGCCTAATTAAACGGTGCCTTGTGCCTGAAGCGCTCAGACCTGCAGAGGCACCAGCAGAGTCCCTTGGGTGCAGAACGTGATGTGGAGGGCAGATGGGTGCAGTGTCACTGCAGAGAGGCCTGTTAGACCAGGAGCTCCTCATCACACACATATGCCCATAGAGGTTCACACTCAAAGTGAGGTGGATCATCATAAACAGCCTGAACAAAAGTATGCTGCGCTGACTGAGACCCTGCAGTGAGGAGCTTCACACAAGAGACCAAGCACAGCCTTTTTAATTTACCGCTTTATGACAGGAGCTAACTCTTCTGAGGACATGACTCAATCTGGCCCATCTGGCTCTATGTCAAATACAATTACAGAAGGCTTTGGGCATTAGTAAACACATTATTATGTTGTCCTTGTCATGTGTAAGCAGAAGCTGAATACAAATGTGAAGGAGATGGAAAGTGCTTTGAGGGAGACACGAAAAAAGGCATGTTCAGTTTAGCTGCAGATCATTTGTAGTCTGAATAGGAAAATGTTAATACGTACTGGAGGTCCTTGGAGGCCTTCGCCCGGAGGTCCGGGTAAACCAGGCAGTCCACGGAAGCCAATATCCCCCTGAAAAGAAGGCAACGTAGACACAATACATGAATATTTACACACAGCAACACACAATCCATCAAGCAAATGAACCTCTGTGCTGTGAGCACCATCCTGTTTCCTTTAATTAGTTTTCCTTGAAAAAATGACCATAGCTCTCACAGTAAAGATTTTCTTTACTTATCTCAAAACCAATCTCAAACAACAGACCCCATATGATTATAAATACTGTGGATATGTTTTAAAATCTTACATCTTGATGTAAAATAGTATTCCTTTAACTACCTATAATTCTTTAAAGAAAAGTAAAAAGGACAGTCAATGGAGTCACTGGGTGCACTCAGTGTCACACGGTCACACTATGGGACAAATGAGATGTTGTGGTGTTTGTGGTTCACACAATGGTTTCAAGTGGGATCATGGAATTTACTTTGTTGTTCTTCTTTATAAAAATGGCCTTCAATTGTTTCAGCATGTCTCCTGTCATGTGTGGTTCATTCAGACAAATGCACAGCAGTGTAGTTTATGCCCTCAGAGCACTCTGGGTCTCCAGTCTTGTTACCTTTGGTCCAGGGATGCCAAGCCCCTCTTGCCCAGGTTCTCCTGGAAGTCCAGGGAGACCAGGAGGCCCCTAAAATCAAATAGGGAAAAGTGATTTTATTATTAACATTAACACATCTATACAAGAAAAATAATCTCAGCATACATCTTATGTCTGCTCCTGCATAACTTTTACTATTAAACTGGTGCCTGGGACTGTAGACATGCATTATAAGTGAAAGTAGTCTCTGCAGATAGTAGCACACACGAACAGGGTTAGAGGTCTGAGAGTGAATCTTACCACAGGGCCTGGATAGCCGTCTCCTTTAGGACCAGGTGGACCCCCTGATCCTGTATCTCCACGGTCCCCCTTTGAAGAACACACAGTAAATCTACATTTCACTAACATAACAGCAAAGAGCTGATTTACACACACAGCTACATACGACCAACAGGAATGTAGAAGTAAAAGGAGGCATATGCTCTCCGAAGCAGTCAATACATCAAAACCCAAAATGTAACAACTACTAAACAGGTTGTGGCCTTTCACAACAGGACTCTTTCAACAAACCCAGGTCACTGACGACATCATGTGAAGATGCACAATTAGAACACAACATCATGTTATAGTAATTACTTTTTCATTCTTATCGAATGATGAGAAAAGTGTGGATGATGGATCTCATAATCAGAAAGTGCTGCCAGATGCTGTGACTGTGATTAAAATGTGAAATACTGACATGATAATTTCTTAGTTTCTGAATTATTAAAAGCTTTCTGATCAACACACGGCACTTCTGTGCAGAAGACATTAAAGACATTAAGAAACTTTTACCTTTGGACCAGGGAGTCCATAGCCAGTCTCCCCAACTGGGCCAGGTGGACCACTTGGGCCTGGATCACCCTAATAGTAAAAAGTACATAGTATTATCTTAAGAACATTTATTAACAACATGTATGCTTTTGAGTATTACCTTAGGCCCAACAACAAAGCGCCCAGGTGGACCAGGTAAACCTAAGCGACCCTGTGACCCAGGTTCTCCCTGAAGAAGCAATCATTAGCACAATCATTATTGTTTCATTTAGCTTCCATCCATCTCACCTTTGGTCCTGATGGTCCAGCAATACCAGGTGGACCGGTCAAGCCTCTGATTCCTCTTTGACCTTGATCTCCCTAAAAGGAGACATTACATTAGAGGAGGCATGGGGGTTTGAGTTTACTGTCATCACATTTAACAGTGATGTAATGAGATACCTTCTCTCCTTGAGTCCCAAGTCCAGGTGCCCCTTCAAGCCCACGGAGACCTGGTGCTCCTACTTCACCCTGAAAAACACAGCAGCTTGGATAATAAGTGTCTGAAATGACTATAGAAGAGCTGTCATAGCAAATGTAATATAGCATGAGTGAAAGGACCTTCTGGCCTGGTGCCCCATCCTCCCCTGGCAGGCCGGGCACTCCTGAGATTCCTGGGGCCCCTGGATCTCCCTGAAACAGAGGAAATAATCACTTGAATGAAATAGTCACTAAAACAAACACTTGTGGTTAATGAGCATTTAAACAGCGCTTTAACCCACCTTGGATCCCGGTTCTCCAGCCCCTCTCTCTCCCGGAGCACCAGTCTCCCCAGGCAGTCCTTGATCTCCCTTCATCACACAGTTAATTCAACACAAATACACAAAACCATATAAGTCTTATAGGTCAATCTACAAACCTTGGGTCCTGGTAAGCCCTCGCCTGGTAGACCCCTTGGCCCAGGTGGCCCCCTTGGACCCTCCACACCCTAAAACACACATAAGAGTTATAACATCTGCAATGACTGCAATGATAATGATAAAATAACTTTTAATACCTTTTCCCCCTGTATCCCTGCCCCTGTGAGGCCAACAGGTCCTGGAAGTCCTGCAGGACCAAAATCACCCTAAAGAAAACACAATTCAGATTAGAGAAACCATTCAACAAGCAACAATAATACTACATGGTTGTTTTAGACTGGCCTACTTAGACAATGAAAAAGTACAAACATGTACAGAAAATATGCAATTTACATTTCTTGCTTCGCTTCCTACTGACATCATTTCCACTGTAATTACACACAACTTTAACTGTCCACTGTCTTTTTTCATTATAAATTGTGACCATGTGTTCACCAGTCACTCTGCCAGTTCTTGTGCTCCTCCCAATCTGCTCTGTTATATTCTTTTGGCTTTGAGAGAAAGCATTTTGGAGGTATTTTATTTACAACTCTACCTTATCACCTTTGATTCCTGGCCCCTGTGGTCCTCTGGGCCCCCGTGGACCCTCTAGGCCTCGTTCACCCTGTGAGGACACAATGGTTACATTTAATTTTCAGTAAATGAAAAACAAACAAATAATAAAATATACAATTTTAAAAACACATTCTCATTCTTTCTTTGTTGATAATTGAATATTGGGTATGTAGTCCTGTTTTTCTTGTTCAAAAATGTTTTTAAACTAGTGAAAAGGCCAGAGCAGAGCCTCTTTGTTTATAAGGAAAAAGCTAATATACTGTAGATTGTTGTATTATTACATTGGTGTTTTAACAGAATACATCACCGGAAACTCCATTTACATATTTTATTTGAGATACAATAAATCTGTTTATGTCGCTGTGGAATGCTGAAAAAATACATTTTGCTCAAAACCCAATGTAAACTAATCTTTTTTTACTTTAGCTTGTAACCACAGAAACAACCCCAAAGGAATTCTGGGATGTGTTCCAAATTGGTTATGTGAGACATTTGTGAAACTGCTACTGTACTGCTGCTGCTATCACAGCATTGAGTCCGGCCAGCTTTAATTCCATCTTCTGCTGCTGTAATCAACGTGTGTGACCTAACCATGAATAGGGATCTTAAATGTCATGGTATCTTTTTGAAAATCTAAATCTGTGCAAAATAGAAATAGCAGGCTAAAGGACCTTTCCTTTTTTTTTTTTTTCCATTTTAGAAGAGAGTTAAAGAACCTTGCTATTGATCTATTGTGAGCACTAGACAACATAGCATTTTAGCTGGAAAATCAAATGACTGTATGTTAGAACTGGTGGTGAGCTCCGATGCTGACTGCCTTGGAGCAGAGTGCTTTTTGACGTAACTTCTTTAGGGTTTGGATTTACCTTACCAAACGCATGTTTTCGCATTTTGTGTATGAACTCTTAATGTCTTCTTGATCAGCGTGTTCTTTTAACGCACTACTGCTTGTGCATCATTTGATAATCAGTTTATTAACTATCAGGTATTTGTGTTATTACGCATTATAGCTACGATTTGATAAGATTTCAATCAACAAAATAACTATGACTTATTACTCAAGCTTGCTATGATAATCACGAATCACAAGCCCTCCAAAAGTTTTTCTTGTTGTTCTCCCGAATAAAAATGTACTCGGTAGAAACGGAAGGATGTAGGTAGAATCGAAGACTGAGTGATGCCGCAAATCGCAAAAAGTTTGAAAATGTTGTTATAATGCATACTGGGTCTAGTGGAGCGTACGCGTGCATCAGCGAAGCACGGTCAGCAGATCTCAGCTGAAGCCAACATTTCCATTCAAACGTCAAAGACTATTGTCTGAATTAGTATTGTTTGTTTTAAATTCTGAACATGTATTAAACTTTTACTCTTTATACCTATGGAAGATACAACACTTGAGGGGTGATAGTTTTGACTGCTGCTTGGTGGATTAAAGAAGAAAGATATATCTTCTGGGTCAAGCAGTACGTCATAGAGCCATGGGAGATTGATTTAATATATAATTCTTTAATGATAATGGCATGTCAGTTAAACTATACAGTCATTGTTTTAGAACGTTGGCCTTTGAATGTCGGTATAATTACTTGAGCCTTAGATTGTGTTAACTATATCGCCCATAATGAAATGAGTGCGAGCGAGAGCTGAGATGGTTATGAATAATTTTTTCATGTTTGATTAACTGGTGCCAAGGAAGGCTAGTGAACTCTCATGTTATTAGCGCAAAGCGTGCAAATATATATAGCTAATGGCACTATAGGGAAGCATTAATGCTGTTGTACGTTAATGCCTATATTGTTAATAAGTCACATAAAGTCTTATCTGATGACTGACAATTTACAATACCACTGAGTCAACACAGTACAGTCGCAGCGTACATTGGTGCCACAAGTGACGCTAGGAACTGGGGGGTATTGTCGCTACTTAACATGCTAAATAAATAAAGAGGCAAGAAAATAAATTTAGTATAAGATAATAAAGTAGACATATATTGCGCGATCCCATGATTTCAGTCTTAATGTTTACCGTTGTTTGTCGGGCTCATCTGGGAACGCACCAAGGTGAATGAGTCTTCCGAAGCTGCACTACCTAATAATATAGAGGTGGTCAGAAACAAAGTGGATGTTATTCTTGTCTCTGGCTTAAGCCACGACTCTTTGTGAATCTGTCACTCCATTCGTTTAGTCTAGACGCGATATGCTTCATAAAGACATATAACAGAGCTGAGTATGAACAATTGCAATAAATGACTGTCGGTACGAACTTCAACTAGTCCTTCTGATCTTTGGCTCGGAGCGGCGAAACTACACACGATCTGAGGCAGTGGAACAGAGGGATAGCAAGGGTGTCATATCTGAGAATAATTTAAAGTCGAGACAAGTAATAACTAGGATGGGCGTGCATGAATCGACATCGATTCAGATAAGCAGTCGAGTTGGAGAGAATATCTGAGTTATAACAAAGGTGATAGTATGGGGGGTATCTGATATAATGATGATGAAAGTTATCAGCTATCATAGAAAATTAAGGTACAATAATTCAGTGGTGACTTGTCAGGTTCAGTACCAGCTGCATGGATAGTGTATGCAAGGTGTAATACTGACATTCCAGAAATTAAAAAGTTCTAATGGGATTAAAATCATAATGATATACGGAGGTGTTCATCAGAAAAATCACTTATATGCAACAATCATCCATTGAAGAAGCTGGTTCATAGAATCCCACAAAGAGATCTCATAGTCAATACTATAGTTCTAGTTGTCTTCGCTACAGGCTTTTAGTTTTTTAGGACGGACGTTTTCATTGATACAAAATGATATTTTGAGTAATATTGTCGTTTAGATGGTGACTTGGTGAATGAACACTGCTCAGCTAGAAGCAGTATACAGACAGAGAGTACTTACAGAGTAGGGTGAATCCTAGATAGATCTGACACCCAATCAGACAATGGGTCCAAGACACATTTGAAGACACAGACTGTCCATTAGTAAGGTCAAAAGTGAATGTCTTATTGCTGCTGTAGAATGGATACATGGCATCCCAACTTTTCACTATTTTCTCAAACATTTAGACAGCTTAGCATGTTGCTTTCAATCCATTTTGATTGGATGAAAAATGAGTAGAAGTTTATGTTGTATGGTTTAGTTGTTCTTCGCATGACGTATAACGGTGAACTAAATAGAGTAGTTAAAAGCCCACAGGAGCGCTGAGAGCAAAGCCAGATAAAGTGTAATGTTAGATGATATGTGTGCTTTGTTGAGTGTGTGTATGCTCTGGAGACGAATGAAAATAGGTGGGGCAGGAGAGCGAACGAGGGGGTCACCTCTATCTTACAGAGCTCAAACTTGGGTCAACTAGCTTGTCAGCTTTTCCTCATTTCCGGCTATATCTCTTTTGTTCTTTTTCCCATGGTAAAATATTGAAATAGGTCCTATGTCCACAGTCAGATGTGTTTCCCTTCTGTCGGGACAATCCAATGAACCAGACACACGTTATGACTCCCTAAGGATTTATCTAATTGTAACGAGAACGGAATAACAGCTACACAGCACTTACAGATTGTTCTAGCACAGAACGTGGAAAAGTTGAGCTGATGCTTGAATAATTAAGTGATGTTGTATTGAAGATAAAATCGATAATATTCAATAAATAAATAGCTCTGCGAGACTTCTGTCCTTGAGTGTGTACTTATTATATTAGGATATACATTGGAGAGCAATCTAGACAGATCGCTAGATGGTAACTTGGTGCACTAATGGTCACCCTGGGGCAGGATGGAGAGATGTTACGGTACCGATTGTTCATGACAACAGGTTCACCAACCGCTATTGGGTTTCCATCGAGCGTACGCGGTCGTTGGGACAAGGGGTCAGAGCTGAATGTACATCCTAGTTAACATATAGAATAAAAGACTGCTACTATAATCACAAACTGATTGATGGGATGTTATTAAATTACAGAGAAGTATAGAATATAACTTGTATTGACGCTGGTGGGATAACTGATCTCAATCCAAATTGCTGATAGAAATTGGGGGAACTACAATTCTGTCTTGCTCACTTAGAATCTGATGATAAAGAAATTGTGTGACACTCTGATGGGGGCCCTTAGATGTGCTGCGCATAGGGAAAAAAAAATGTAGGGAAGAGGGAGCTGATGGGAGTACGTAAGTGTTGTGAACGATATGCTAATACATGATGACACTGGTAGGCTCGTACTCTTGAATGATGCTTGCGTCTGCAGTTGCGTGGATCTAGCTGTGTTAAACATATCATGCGATCAGGACTTCTTCCACTGTAGTATATGAACAACTCCCTAAGAGGTGTTTCGTCTTGGAGATAAAATAAAAGGAAAACAACCCTAATTAAACATTGTTATTTACCTGCGACTGACATACTATTCACTCCTATATATCCATCAATCATATAAAAAGAACCGGTGTGGTATTGGGGCTGTGATCAGATGGAGTTTGTTGGCGCCATAAGCTTCGGGGTAGGATCGCTTCAATGGAGTATCCTACATCATCGGTTTCCACTCAGCCTCAGAGAACTACAATCTTATGCAGAAAGCGAAGAGACAAGGATGGAGCAAAAAGAAATGTCATAATGCATGTAGAGACTTTTTAGGATATCGTTCGATTATATATCCTAAAATTCTTCTCAATTGTCAAGTAAGAGAGAGATAGCAGCACTTTGATCTTCAACTTACCTTACTGCAGTTGCACGAAGGATAACAAGTAATTCGGTTCTTAGCCTGCTCCTCGTTCTCTTGCACATGGATGTGGTCCTGGCATGTATATTATCATAGCTCTCATGTATCACGGGCTCGTTATTATTTAAGACGGAATGGCGAAATTACAGTAGAAACATCGCATGCAATAAAACTAAGTAACTAACAGATATGCAATAGCTATTCATTAGACATTACGAGATTAGCCTGTCATCATGTCCCTCGCGACAACATACCCCAGTGAGGTAGCTGTGTCGTTTGTTTGGCTACACTCTACACGCATGTTGCTTTTGGGTTTTTACAGAATTCCGATCGTACCTTACA